AAAAACGAATGGCGTCTTCTCGCCATGGCGTTTAACTGCGGCTGGACGTCTGAGGTTCTTAATAAAATCCGCTTCGGTGCTGAATTCTTTGTCTGTCCTGTGGGAATGAAGAAATTCTCCTGGTAGCCGTAGATGTTGTCCGTATACCGTCTCGGCCGCGGTACCTTGAATGTCTTCTTTTCACGCTGTTTGTATTTCCAATAGTAAAGTGGGAAGAACGCTAATCCATCGATCGTTTTGGTGGCATTTTATCGCTGCTTTTAATTGGTGGTGAAAACGCTCCACCATGCCACTTGCTGCAGGGTGATATGCAATGGTTCGGAGATGAGTCGTACGTAGTAAACTTCGGGGCGAGCGTTTGCTGGAAAGTCCTTTTGTGGAGTCGCTCGCAGGTATATGTATTCAGTCCCTGGCATAGTCAGACGTTAGGCTCTTGGCGTAATACTCAAAATGGGTCACTTTCGGACTTGTGTGTGTACTTACAACCGTTTTGCATATATGCGGCTGAATTTCGCAACCCCAAAGAAAAAAGTTAAATTGCATGATCTGGCCTGCAAATTCTGATCACCAAAACGGGAAATTATACGACCAGGAATGGAATCATCTAGTAATTGAATTGTTTCTCGAGCTGTATGGCATGTGACACCGTTTTGTTGAAACTACATGTCGTCCTACATCTATATCTTGCAATTTAGGTGTAAAAATCTGGATAATCATGTCGCGATAGCGAGCACCATTAACTGTTATTGCCTAACTAGCATTTTCGAAGAAGAATGGTCCGATGATTCTTCCAGCCCAAAATCCGCACCAAACAGTGACACGTGGATGTTTCTATTTCTCAACAATCGCTCGTGTATTTTCCGAACTCCAAATATGACAATTTTGTCGTTTGTTGATTTTATTATTTATCAGCATCCACTTGTAATTCCATAATCTATTCAATTAACTCTCTTCGCTCTACGTGGTCAGCAGGCTTCAGTTCTTGAGTCAATTGAATTTTGTAAGCATGAAGATGCAAATCTTTCTTGAGAATACGCTATAGAAAGCTTCTCGAAATGTCCAATTCATTACCACGGTGCCGAATTGATGTTTTTGGACTCCCAGCAACATTCCTATGAACGCTTCGATGTTTTGTGTTGAACAACTTGTTGAAGAACGGTCAGAGTGATTAAGATCACTAATCCAGTCTCCCTGAATTTTTTAATTAATTAATTTACTATTACGGCCTATTTTGTGCGAAAATTGGAAACTGTAACTGCCAAACCTTTATTATTTTTAAAATATTGCTCGATAATGAAAACGGTTTGTTCTTTCGTGTAGCTCTCCTTTTAATAACCCTAAACTGTCAACTGTCTCGCTGTTCTTTTTTTGTTGGCAATCTTTACCACACAAGTGGCGCGAAATTCAAATCTTGCGCGAATTTTGCTACACTTTATCAGTTATGTGTTTTTGTTATTTAAAAATTATGTTCCAAATAAATTTTGTATAAATTGTCATAGCAACTGTCGGTACGAAATGTAAAGTTTCATTTACATTTCAAAAAACGTCGTCATAGCTGTTTACTTATAAAGTATGTCGTGTGACTAAATGATAAATTCCTAATGATTACAGCATCTTTTAATTGTATGGTGATGTTTGAACAATCATTCGACGGATTCATGAAATGTTATTAAATTGGAATAGATATTTAGAAAGTACATATTCCTTGTATAGGGAAAATTAATATAAAATCAGGTTTGGGGGATTTGCTTATAAACAGCAAACTTCAGTTCAATACAGTAAATATTTTGTATAACGTAATAAAACAGGACTGAAAATTAATTTGCTATTAAGTAAAAGCAATTTTTGATGTAGGTCGCTAATAATCCCTAAATGACGGCGCCCTTTATTTATAGTAGTTTTAAATGTTCGTTTGCGGAGGCCGCATTAAACAGTGCAGATTTCATTAAACCCAATCATAAATTGTCCGGCAGGCGACGTCGAAAATGGTGAAATGAAATTTACGTTGTTATGTCCCCATCCGAAAGGCAATATTGAATGTCAGGATATCAGATAATTCTGGAATTGAATTTGCAATAAATACGGCTAAATAGTTATGTCGCGTATTATAAGCAATAAAAAGGCTCTCGTCAAGGTTTTAAATCCTCCGCGAATGTGTTCGTTATTGATGAAATAATTCCTGGAATACGTTCCCTTATACGAGAGGATACTTTTATTTAATGGCGCAGTTTCGATGTTACATTTCTATGACATTTAGAAATGGTTTTGATCAAAATTAAATTGAAATTTTACCATAAAAGTGTAATAAATACAAGTAAAACAAAATGGGTTTATAAAAGAACCTACCTAAATCCATGTTATATTCCTAACACTAGTTTGGCTGTCTCGTATTTTCCTCACTCATTTACGTATTATATAAACTCTAATGCCAATAATTCCTTATTATATAAAAAAGTTAAAGTAAACCTACGGATATTCTTGCGGATATATGAGTACAATGTTAATTCAAAAATAATTTTCTTGAAGACAGTAATTTTTTTTGTGTACCTATAAACAAATGAAATTTGATTTAATACAGAGAACTTGTGAAGGCATAAAGTAGGAACATCTAAAAAACTGCTTTCAAATTATAAGATAAACAAAATGTCACACGCGTTTCAAGACGGCTAAAAAAATTGGGAAATTGTATAAGAAAATTCCTGAAAAAGTTTTGCAGGATAAGTTTGCAAATATTCACTCAAATAATCTCTGTGAAGCAACAAACTTTTTTAAATTATGTCGAAACATTCTTTAACTCGCAAAGGTTTTCAACTGAAAATATTTATTTGATGGTACCCATAAAACCGAAGGTAAGGTATTGCTCAAATCGAAAAGACAGTTATAATTGAGGAAAAATAAAATATCCACTGTATATACAGGGTGTCCCGGTACTTGATACAAAAAAGTCGGGTACACATAGATGAGGTCAAAATAATATCAGTTCTTCATATAAATTGTTTTTATATGGGCCTTCGTTAACAAGTTACGGGCCCTCAAAGGTGAAAATTAAAAATTAATTTTTATTTACAGTCTCTAAACTATTAACTTCAGCATGATGCAAATTTGATGATGAATAACACACGCGTACAGCTTGTTTTTGATGTTGTAACTGCATTATGCCCAGAACGCCAGAGACGGACTATGTCCAATGATTAACAACTCAGTATGTCGCAATCTGCCTGCATCAAAAATAAGTTCCCTGAAAATTTGCCAACGATAATAATCAACTCGGTAAAATTAACAGTATAAGAAATATTTGTGATTTTATGTCACAGTGCACATCGAATGACGTCTCCACCATTTTTTGCGTTTTTAATTTTGTATTGGACATAATTACTATGTTAGAACCATATATATATTTAAAATACGAGCCTTGAAAATCTTACTGCCTGCTAACGTAATTTTCACTAACAAAATTTGACAAACACACTTTACACATAACACAAAATAGAAAGAAAAAAAAAGAATCACTTCACACAAATTTGCATTGTGCTGAAGTTTAAGGACTGTAAACTGTAAATAAAAATAACTGCAATTATCACCTGTAAGAGCCCGTAACTTGTTAACGAAGGCCCCTTCGAAATAAATTTATATGAACAACTGGTATTATTTTGACGTCATCTATTTGTACTCGACTTTTATGTATCAAGTACTGAGACTCCCTGTATACACTGAGCTATTTTATCGTAGACTAAAAAAACCCGTTATTTGAGGTGAAATCCAGTAGAATATGCAGCTCGAGAACGACAGTCTTAGCACCCTATGTTTTTTTTTAACTAATCCCCTAATTTTAGCCGTAGAATACGTTTTTGGATTTTCTGGACGTTCATAGGAAGCACCCTGTATAATGCTTAGGACTTAAAAGCATTGCTTCCTGAACGTAGGTTATACATTAGAATATCATTTCAATTAAAAAACATACACATTGCTAAAAATAAACATTTAAATATTCATTAACTGTTTTCAGAATTACCTTCTCTCGCATTAATTAAACTTATTTATGTGCTATTAAGGTATGTTTTAAGGAACAATATGTGAGTATATTCAGTACGAAGTTTAAAAAATGCAATTTTCTGTTGGTTCTTTGTCTTTATGACATGTTATTGAATGGCTTCTGATGCCTTTCATATCTATTTTATTCATGGGATATCAATTTTTATCGGAACCGTTTTGCTATTGCCATTTTTCAAGTCACAAGACGTAGTTTATTACTTCTATTTTCGTCACATCCGTAGGCCTTATATTTATTTGGGTTTTATGTTTTCTTCTACAAAATGAAAGCTTAAATTTTGTATTTTAAATAAATTAAATAAAATAGATCGATCTGGTTTAATTTTATTTAAAATGTTGTAATTTACTTGTAATTTTTAATTGAAGCAAAGAGGGCATCACAAGATTCACAAGTGTAATCTATTCCTTACAGAATCGGAGAGATATTATTAAATTTCCTCTGGTTACATTCTCGAATAAAATTTAAAACGTTATATGCAAATTTCGGCGTTCGTATTTGAATTTCAAAATAAAATGTTCATTCGTAAACATGCTTATTGGGGCTGCTATGTTTACACATCAGATGCATGCTTCTGTTTCTTAATTTATTTGATTTCTTACATTTCTCAGGCATTTCTTATTACTTAAAATCGAGGAATATGTGCTCATTGCTCATTTGATATGCAGAATATGTTTGTTTCTAGGGACTTTCAAATCGGTTATTAAATTATTTTGATTAACATTAAAGCGAAGGAAAATTACAAACACATTAATTTAAAGTGGGCTATAAATACATATAATAAGTAGGGAAAAAATAGTATAATTAAAAAATTATAGTGTTTTCAGAATATTTTATTATGCCGACTTGTATACGTAACTTACTAACAAACATTCTAAGAAAAATAAATAATTTATTACCTATCTAAAACTTATAATAAAAATACAGGCTTATTAAAAATTAGTAATAATATGTTTATACAAGAAAATTAAATAATTTTTAATATATTCGCGTATCCAAGGATGCAACTCTTTATTTTTTTGTAGACGGACTTAATATTATTTGTCTTAACTATGCTAGAAAAATAAATGGAACACAACAAACTTTGTCTTTTAACGTATGTAATTGGCAAATATTGATAAATCCTTAGAAAATAAATGAACGATTCACGGAATCTTCATCTTGACTGTTCTTCCAGTATTATACAAACGACTTCTTCTTAAAATCGCCTCTCATTAACATGTAGCATCCAGACAATAATATAAATAATCCTAGTAACGTATACTGAAATGTAAGTATCCAAAAGGCCAACAAGTATGTGGTCCTATTGCAGTATTTATCTCCACTAGCTGAATTATACTCGGGTTGGTAGTTCTTATAAACAAAATAAGTAGCTGCAAAAATAATAAGATATAGTTTAAAACAAAAAAGATACAGCTGTGTTTAATTGTTAATAAGGCAAATATACAGGGTGTTAAAAAAGGAATGTAAAATATTTCAGTATGAACCAAAATAAGCAGAAAAGTCTTAATAAACATGGGTCCGCAAAGTAACGGTTGCGGAGATATGGACCACTATTCGTTTTTGAAACATTTTATTTTATTAGGAATAAACCGACAAAGGAAGCTTTTAACAAACAAAAAACAAAGTTACAGAAGATGTTCAAAGTGCCCTCCATCCATTTCCAAGTAGGCACGACAACTTCGTCTCAACGATATTCGAACTCTTTCGAAAACACCCTCATTGGTTTGGATTTCTTGACACTTTTGATTAATCCGTAGCTGCAGCTCTTCCGGGCTATTTACAGGAGTACAATACACTAATGTCTTCAAATATCCCAAAACAAAGAAATCTAGAGGGTTCAGATCAGGCGACCTTGGAGGCCATAAAACAGGCACTGTTTGCTCAAGGAACCGGTATTACGCAATCTTTGGTGAATTCTTCCAAACATGCGTTGTGAAGGAATCTGGCAATTTGGATAAGCGTAAACATAAAGACGTCGCGCTTCGGTGGCGTTCCCATTAGCACGACCATACATGAAATGCATGTCTGTTAATTCTGCGTTAGAGTAACCAGCCACAGCGAAAGAAAATTTGTGCACTGAGAACAACTGTCAAATACGTACTGTTTATTTCACTAAACATCAACCAACTATTATAAGAAAATACACAACGTTTTTGCAAAATAAAAAAGGGGTTAAAAACATAAAACATTCCATATCTCCGCAACCGTTACTTTGCGGACCCATGTTTATTGAGACTTTTCTGCTTATTTTGTTTCATACTATTACCTCCTTAAATATTTTACACTCTTTTTTTAACACCCTGTATCTAGCCCCACCAAAATCACGTCACATTTTAAGGAAGAGTTTCCAAATGTTCACGGTTTAATTTTTAATAAAAACTGTTTTAACTTTATTTATTTATTTTATTTAGTGTTTCAACAGCCTTTAAATCGGAACAACCCGTAGTTATTTATATTTTTAACTGCTCTTTGCATTTTCTATACTACTAAACTTCAATAGTAATCAATGTTGAATATGGTATATGCATTTAAAAAAATTGTAGTGTTATTAAAACTCTTTATTTAAGAGCACCATTAAATACGTCAGTAAACGCGCCAACGAAGGTTCATATTAATTTTTAGTACACAGTTGAGTTCAACCCGTTTTAATTTTAATTTAATTTAAAGTCCTTACTTTAATCCACTCATAAAGATCAGTTTTTTAATTCTACAAATTTATGGGCTCTGTAAGAGCGGTATGCGAATAATTTCATTTAAGGCTTTATCCTTCCCGAATTCAAATACTGGTTATTAAATCGTTTATAGTTTATAGACTCTTTAAAATTTGTCTGATCTGCTGTACAATATTTATTAACTTTTTGTTTACCTGAGTTTAAAGTTTGTATTGCGACTGAAGTATAAGTATTTGAAAAAATAAAATTTTTTTGAAAGTCATAAGTATAGCTTGACATTTGGGTGCTTAAAGAAGGCGTCGGGCTATATCTATCAACGTAATAAATTTATTAAACAATTTTCTGCCAGTAATGAAATGTCATATTTGTGAAATAATTTTGGAATGGGATTTTTATCAGTTTAATAATCAAGAACATTTTAAAAAACGTCAGCTGCCGTATTGGATAGTTTTATTATGTGATATGATATAATTTTTATATTCATTGTATCAGTCGAGTGTCATTATTTTGGCGGAAATATGTAGATGCCCAAGTGACTACTCCCCTGAAGCCGTCGATTGCATCTTCACATGCATCGAGTGAAAGAAGAAATAAATAATAGTATATAATAGAAAAATATGTCCCAATTCTCTCGTATAAACGTACCTATGTATATGAAAGAAAACTATACTACAGGAACTATTTTAATGATGCTTTTCTCTTACAAAAAAATACACTGGTGAGGTTATCTTAGCAATTTAACACAGTTACATTGTTTTTAAATTTCTCAGTGACGCCACTGATTTCGCACGGAAATGTCAAACTTTAATGATAAATTTGTTTTATTTAAAATCCAAACTTATCAAATAAAAGCAAATTTTTGATCTTTCATATTTTTTGTAAAAATTATATGTATAAATATTCAAAATTAAATTTAATTCAAAGACATTCCTGACATACCAAAATTATGAAATAATGGAATCTTTGAAAACTATATTTACTTGTTGGTATTTGTCAAGGGCAATGTTAGAGCAACAGGAATACAAGATAATTCTTTGAATGATTGCATTTTTTAATAATTTCAATGTCCGGTATGTGTTTTTGAATTAATAATATTGAGATATATCGTTTTTAATTTTTATTTTCGACAATTATTAATTACCAGCTATTTACTAGATATTTTTGGTGTAAATCAATGTTGATTGGGGCATGAATCCCAGAGTAGTTTTTTCTAACAATGCATACTTAGATTTTTTGTACCAAACAACTTTGACTGTAAAATAGAGTAAAAATACAGGAGCTAATAGCAAAATATATATTTTTCAGAAACAAAGTCATTCACTTTAGATTTGATTTTTGTCATTCTTGCAAATATACAAATAACGTTAATTAGTGTGCTTCATAAAGCGTTCATGTGATAAGAATAATAGATATTTAGTTTTTTTCTCTTACCTACTCCATGCAAAATTACATCGAATACAACCAAGATCACAGCGGTATTAAATAAATATTTGTTAGTAGACCTGCTTAAGAACTTAGCTAAAGCACCCAGAGCACCTAAAATGTATCGCCTATTAGTTAATTGAAAATAATTTAATCATAGTAATTCTTACCTGCCGCTATCAAGTAGAGTGGAATAAATATGCATACTGGGCAGTTCATTATATTTACAATCCCCGTCGTAAACATCGTGAAGAAAACTGCGTAGAGCAAAACTAAGGAGGCATTGATGCCAGCTGAAAATTAAGTTAGTTTTTAATTTATCATTAATTGGTATTTGGGTATTTTTTGGTATGTGTTTGAACATATATGAAATATTAGTTAAATTAAACTTTGCCTCAAAAGATTTTATTTATTGAGTGTTGTTTTAACGAAATGTATTTTTTTTCCTTTATCTAATTTTGTTGAAACAGTATTTAGGAATATTGAAAGGAAGACAAATTCTGTTAGACCACAAAGGAGAAATTGCATCAACAATAAAGTTTCCATATATTCCTGTACTATCGGAAATATTAAGGAAAATAGGTAACAAATTTAACATTAGAACAGTTTTTCAAACAACTAATACTTGACGGACTGTAAGAGAAAGTGATTTGAAATAAATGCTTGAAATTAAGAACTCATGATAAAATAATCACCCCGTACATTGTTTTTTGTAAAATACATGACAGAAATTTTATTAAAAAAAAAAATAAATTAAAAGTCTGTCCGTTGGAAAAAAATCTATTATCTTGATGTTCTACCAATCTCTGAATTTATGGCACTTTTTCAAAACACTTTAGACAAATATATCACTTCACTTGACGAATTCTTAGACATAAATACACTCGCTTTTACCAAATCAGGTATTAGTGGTCATTCTGTTCATACCATTTATCTCAAGTATGATAAATGTAATAAAAACAAAGTGACAAATGAACCCAAGTAGTATTAAATTATATGAAGTATAAGAAATTAACTAGCATTCTCTATGTGTTCTATAAAGGCAAAAAGTGTGTTACTTACGGGTCCGTTTTTCCTTCGCTTTTTCCAACGGTTCATTGTTACTCTCCGCCTTAAGTTTTCTTTCGTTCTCCAATTTTTCAACGTCTGCATTAGACAACAAGGTGGTGGAACTGTTTTGAGTGGACATGTTTTCCTCGCGATTGGTCAATTTTCAAACAACAAGGCATGCGCTAACGCACATATCGGTATACAATGCTCTACTAAAATAACTATTTATATTTTTTAGCGCCCAGGCACAGCTTACGCTTATTTTTAGTTCGCAATATTTGGCTTGTATTGAAACGTTTAGCAAAATAATAAGAGTCTATTAATTTACTTAATTGTAAAACGTCAGGCGATTTAATCACAGCGTGCGTAGCGAGAAGCATAACAATAAAAATACATACAGGGTCAGTAGAGTGATAAGTGGCGTCTATTTTGTTTACAATAGAAATATATATTTCCGTCTAAGTTGGACACTATAAAATACAAATATGCTCGTTAATGTAAACAGTTATTACTGGAAACATCTGATTAACATGAAAAAATATTTCTACTTGTATTTATTTATCGACTGTCGTATAGATGAATAACGTTCCCTTTTGTGTAACTCACATAAAGTTGAATCCAGAAAGAGGTGGTAAGAACTGTATAGTATGTATAAAGTGTACAGTAGTATAAACTTAAATATCTTTAAAAACTTTATGTATGATTTTAAGGGGACGTTTTTTAATTGTAGAACTTGGTGAACTGCATTTTTTCAACCGAGATCTAAGTCGTGCTACGTCAGCTTTTTAGGAATAAAATTTTATATAATTTATATTATCATTTTTTTATTGAATGGCCACCGAGATCCTCAGACTTGACGCCACTCGATTTTTTTCTTTGAGGCTTACTGAAAGAAATCTTTAAAAATCCAGGCCATAAACTGTACAAATCCATAGAATAACAGAAGCCTGAGTAGAAATTACCCCAGAATTTGTACCAAAGGTAACCTATGAACGTACGTTAAGACAAGGAAAGGGCATCTGTTGAATAAATTGTCGTGCAACAAAAACTTTCAAGTTTTTGTAAGGAAATTTTGTTTGTTCTTTATTGATTTGTCAAAATTAAGCATAAAAATGATAATAGGTAGTACCATGTTAGTAACATTTTATTCATTTTTTTTATATATATAATTAGACTTTTAATTTGACAACAAAACCGTTACTTAAAAGTTTTTGATAAAATTTAAAAAAAAAAAAATCACAAACATAAATCATTAAAATTTTACTCCAGAAGCTGACACAGTAGGCCTTGGATTTTGAATCAATATGGCCCTTTTAGCTCAATTTGGATAAACTATTTTTTATTTTAATGTTAACTAACTATTGATTTAGGACAAGTTTTAGACTTAATTTATGTTAACTTAATATATTTACAATAAAATTAAAGAAATAATGATTTTATTCAAACAAACTTGCGGATAATTCAGAAACTATTTGAGACATATTACCGTATTCCGTGTGGGCCGTTGTAATACGTGTATTGGGATTTCAGAAACAAGTAGTTAAATAAGGAAAATAATGTTGAGTCTTCATTACTAAAATAGGTATTGGTACTGTTTTTAACCTCCATTGAAAATTAAGTATTACTTTATTCGTTAATGTAAATTTGACATGTGTTAATAAAAAATATTTATACAGGGTGTAAGAAGTTTGACTGCAATAACTTCAGAATGAGATGGACTAATCATAAATGAACAAAAAAGTTGTATATTACAGGGGCGTAAAATTAACAGTTTTCAAAATACAGCGAGTATTAATATTGGGGAATTTCATCACAACGTGACAACTACGCTTAACCTGTTGATGTACACCACGTGTACACGCGGCAGACTTGTTCTATGGAAAAAATGTAAACAACTATTATTATGAAATATTTAGTAAATTTCAAGACAATTGTTTTCCAGTTTTTAAATAAATAAAATAAAATGTATCGATTTTGTAGTATGAAGATAGTGTTGCACTTAAATTTTAGCTCGAATTTTAGTAATTATGAATATCTTAAAATAGGAACTTAACTTTTAATCAAATTATGTATTTAAAGTACCCAAAGATTCACGTCGTCCAAATAATCATACGTATTAAAAATAATTTAGGTACTTGCCAAAAAACAAAATTCAGTAATTTTTAAACCCAAAAGTACAAAACAAAGTACAACATATGATTCTCAAAATGTCCACCACCATGTTTGATGTACGCACGACACCTTCGAATCCAATTTTCGAGCACTCGCTGGAAAACATCTCAAGAAAAGGAAATAGTAGTACGCAAAAAGCACTCAGACACGATTAAATCCAGATACCAACTATATTGCGTGTTGGTGGTTACTGAAGTTCAAAAAAGTGATAAACATTGTATTTTATGGTATTCTATGCACACATTATGTCAATATTCCATAATTAATCGAACTTTTGTACAAGTTAGAGATTTTTATAATTTTTTTCTCGGAAATGGTTGAGTTTAGGACCCATGTCGTATAAGGTTTTTTTGTTTATTTTAATGTATTCTATCGTCTCTTAAAATTAAGGCAGTCAAACTTCTAACAGCTATATTGTTTTATCTAAAGTTATCGATTTTATTGTATTTGTGACATATTATTAAAACGCTAAAAGAAATGTAATTTTTGTTCAACATAATGTTCAATATAGCAGCCATATGATGGCTTCTCGGAGTAGAAATTTTGAAATAAAAACTTGAGGTTACAGTGACACTCTTAGCAAAAGTTAAATCTTAAACTAAAATTTTAAAACTTTACCCAATTAATCGTTTTGCTATCTCTTATAGTCCCATAAACTAAAATGGAAGTTCTTTGACTTGTTAGAAGACTTACATACAAAACAGAGAAAAATACATTGGTCATTCACATTTTTAATTACTATTATATCACATATTCGCAACAATTAATCTCAATGTATAAAATCCATATAAAATCTATATAAAATTAGTTTCATTACAAAAATATTCCTAAGCATCGATCAATTCTATAAAATCTAAAGCAGCTATGGTTCCCTTGGTGCTTCTGGATCTACAATCGGCTCTGTTGATTTGACGAAGTAGATGCAAATCAAAAAACACAAAAAGCCCGACACCACCATCGCCGTGATCGCGTATAAGATGCTGATGTAAACAAATGCAACCAGATATACAGTCTTATCACAATACTGAGCGCCATCTTTTGGGTCGTACGTCGGTTTGTATTCTTTGTAGACCCAATAGGAACCTAAACAGAAAAACAAAATATATTAGGAATTAAGAAATCTATGAACCGTCATTATGATTGCGTTTACAAAAAAAAATGTAGGAGACAAGACTATAAACGGTGGTTAGGTTACTCTCATTCTACCACCCTACTTCGCACTGGGAAGAAAATGGTATGGGTCAAAATTTGTTATTTCAAAACTATACGTTGTGTTTTTAAGATACAAATCAAACTTTTTTTACAAAACACTGTGTATATGTTTACGAATTGGATAGAGCGCTCTATAATTATATGAAATTTGATAGTTCTGTCTCTAATACTAAGAAAAAAGAACTTGAAGAGTTTGTTGTCAGTCACATCTCCCTTATTATTAGTACTAGTTGCTCACAAAATTTAAAAAAATAGCAATAAAACGAAAAACATTTTTCTTTGTACTAATGCAATATTGAATTTTTTTATGATGTCACCAGATTTTTCTTTTGTAAAAGTCTCAACAAAACAATACAATAATAATATAAACCTTAATTTCACGATATTTGTTTGTTTCTTATTTTGACGTTAAAAACAATTTGTTTCATTTATGTTTTAAATTAAGTTACTCACCAAAAATAAGCAGAACAATTTCCACGGCGTACAAACAAGTTAAAATATATGAGACGTCCAGGAAAGGCAGAATTTTATCCTTATAGCAGTTTAAAAGTTTTGACAGGAGCCCAATTGCACCTGAAAATAAAACGAAATTGGAACTATCTTCACCGCAATCGAAATTAAAAAGTTTGGCGTTGATATAATAGGTTTCAGGGTACCAGGGTGCCATTTTATTTTCGTTGTCAGTTTTACACATAGATAGGAAAAAGTTTATTTAGTTTCCAACAAATGGTTTTGAAGGCGTGTTTATAAAAAAAATAAATAAGAACAGAGTTAAAAAAATGGATGTAGTTAGTAGTTTTTAAAGTTTGTTTTTTCTTAGGAAACTGTTAATTTTATTGCAATCGTCAATAGAAATTTTAGTTTTTAATTAATGTAATCACTTCTCACCTGTTGCTACTAAATACATAGGAATATATTTCTCGACGGGGCATTTCTTAACCCCATAAATCCCCACTCCTAAGAGGCATACATAAATTACTAACCATGTCACTAATACTATTCTTGTTCCGGCTGTAACAGAAAAATCATTAATAACAAAATGAAAACAAAACATATTCAAGTCGTACAACTAATTCTCCAAAGGAGAAACATTTTTTATTTTCTCGCATTTTATTTCCCGCAATAATTTCCCTAAATGGAGATTAGAGCTCAAAATATACGCTGTAATACATATTTTTACCAACGCATTCGTACTTGCATCTCCCTTGACTGCACTGAAGCCGCTGAATTATATCCCTCATATTTCTCGCAACAAAATTTTATGGTTTGTATACATACCACTAAATTTACCTATAAATTGCGGTATGAGGAGATGCATATAGCCGTCAGATTTAACCTCTATTCCCCAAGCGGGAGAAGTTCCGAATACTTTCAAATGCAAGGGATGTCCTTAGGAAGTAAATTTGCCAAAGAACCGTTTGATTTGTTAACGTTACTCTTGAGAGTATACCCCGACTTGGAAGTCGTAGCTTTGTACTCCCGGTTTATTTCGGCTCGTAAATTAAACTTTTTCTGCAGTTGAAAATTAGTTGCGAAAATTGCAGAAGATAATTTTGAATAATCCAAAGTCAGGTTACCATGTTCATTCCACATGTGTCCAAATATTTACTGTTTACGGAACTACCATATATTCTTGGGATTAAAAGAGGATGAATAAATTATCTAAACATTTAAATAAAATTTCTTACTCTGATATGCGAACTTTTCCACTACTCGGTACGTAGGTATAATAGAAATTTTAAACAGTTTTACACCGAAAAGGTATTCTGGTTTAATTTCAATAACTTGCAATTTTTTAGAGTAAAATTGATTTAAGCATTGTCACATGTTGCAAATATCCGAAACGGAATTTGTGAACACACAGTCCGTACATAATATGCTTTGAAAACAGTTGTTAACCCCTTTGTTTTACTAGAAAATTTAAAAACTCTTAAAACTAATTGTTAAAAATAATAAATTACAGCATATTAGGAATTCATACATAATGAACTTTTATGGAAATCATTAAACACAAAAAGTTTTATCCAAAATATGGTATGTTATAAAAAAAGTGTTCAGAATTTACCGTACAATTAAAAATGGCATTATATACAGGGTGTTCCATTAAAAAAAATCAATGATGACTGCATATGTTGTTCTTGAGACACCCTGTATACAATTTTCCTATGTAAAAAATCCGCAACTAAAAATACTAATCGACGTCTCCGAGCGTTTTCCACAAAATAATTATCTGAATTTTAAACGGATTTGTTCCTAGATTGCGAAATGCTACTTTGCATTCGAGAATGAAATTTTTTTTCTCCGAGCGATAGAGATCAAACACCATTTTTTCGAAAACTGTATCGCACAGTTAAAAAATTATTAAAAATGTGAAGACAAATTTGTGACATTAATTTAAAATTAAAATTAATTTATTTGACATGTCATCTACCATTTACTGCACATATTATAATATCAAATATTCTTTGATTTCCTGTTAAATTCTTTGATAATTAAATTAATTATTAGATATTAATGATTGTTATAATTTATGATTTTGTTGATAATAATAAATAAACTGGTGAACTGATTCCTTCACCTATACCTAATTTCGTTGATTTTGTAGGTGGATGTAAGTTTTTTACGTCCTGGATATAAAAGACTTACGTTCTGTAAACAAAAAACTGTCGTTTCGTTACTTAATAAATATCATGCAAAAGTTAACTTTTAATTACAGTTAATGACAGTTTTCGAAAAATATAATTTAGTTATTGTTGATTTTTGGTTGTGAAATACGATCATTAAATGAAAGGTTTTGCTCAAGATTATTGCTTTACTTTTTTAAACAGCTCTGCTAAATTTTTGAAATATTTTTGTTTATCCGTTATTTTTCTTTTTTGCTGTACTGTAATAGCAATAACATCATAACTTATTTCATAAATATTGATAATCCAAATTCAATATACAAAAATGTTAGATTGGGGATTTCATGATGAAAAGAAAATTTTTTTTTTCGGTTACTAGATTCAGAACCTTATTAGGTGCTAGGTTAGGTTAAGTTCTCTTATTAGGTTATTATTATAATACGCGGTTCTAAATTTTATTGTTTTATCTTAAGTGTTATAACCTTAGGAAACATTTCTTCCCTGTGTCCATATAACCTTTTATTTTTACTCACATAATGCGCTGGCAAAATATTGCCAGCTAATTTCGGGACACCCTGTCTATCAGAAAGCGTAATTTAAAGTTCAGATTGGTCATATGTACTTCAGAAAGCCCCAATTGTACTTTCAAAGCATAACTGATTAAATATGCGAATTTAAAACTGAAATATGATTAAATATAGTACTGTTTTAGAGCTGATAATATTCAACTTTGCTATTAGTTTCGGCATACGCTTTCTTAACGAAAGGAAAAGTTAGGTTGCGCTATTAAATAAAAGTAAGAGGTATACTTCACGCTAATTTTAAGATGTATACTTTCTCCAATTTCATTTAAAATCTTGCAATTCCAATTTCAATGTCCGTAATTTCGCCGTTTCGTTTCTTCAAAACAAATATATTTTCTGTATTATCATATCATAACATTTTTATCTGAATACAAACAACACACATTTTGCAAGAACCATCTAGGTTTTGTTATTTATCTTTCTTATATTTTGAAATGTTCGTACTAAGTGTTTTAAAGTTTAAATTATTTCTAATTAAAGCATTAATCGATTTTAAAATTTTGCTATTGGAAGACCTGGCGATTAATTAATTAATTAATTAAACAAGGTATTAAATTAAAATTAAAAAAAAACGGAAACATTATTAATAATAAATCCTTGAAGATTTCGTCATTAGTGTTGTTATTCACTATTTATATACTGTGCTATGACTAATGATATTAAATGGATGTAAAGTATTTGTTTACATATGTCTGTGTAGCTATAAAAATAGAATAGACATCAACTTAGCTCTTTTCCGGACAAGTAAAAAAATTCCAAATATTTCTTACTGTATTTTTTCAAACTGATTAAATTTTTAACAAACAGTTAATAAAATGTAATATACCTATATCAAAATATTGCTCTTCACGCACAATAACTGAAAAGTATGCGTATATTTTCCACGTGTAAAAATATTTCCACACCGTAGAATCGTTTTTAAAATTGCTCTCGGCGAGGTTATGTGGATGTAAAAACACGTAAACAAGTTTACTTACGTAACAATTTCTCTTTCAATCTGATCACTGCGTAACTGTGTTGGTCGTTTCCAAAATTATGTACCGGTAGAGGTTCAGTGAGATCTGCTGTATTTCTGTTATCCATACTTAAATATTACTGGCGCACGCACATCACTGAACAGCAGGAGTAGTCCTAGCCGTATAGGTAGGTACTGGCTGGTGTGATTTAAATCGTGCTATTTTCGTCTTTGTTGAGTTGCACTTGGTGTATGCTGTGTGGAATAACTCTAATGTCTGTTAGTCGGTCAGTAGTTTACAATAATTATGACAATGACGGAGTAGTACTCCGACCTTACTCACGGGCAATGTTAATAGATATTGCGCTTTATTTATTCATATTGTTTATATACTTATTTATCTGATAGACGGGTGTGCCACTAAAGATTTGCGCCAGCGTTTTAGTTACATTTTGTAATTTTGTTCTCTGTTCTCTTACCCACTTAAAATCAAGGATCATTTTATTTAAACATGACTGATTGATTTTCTTGTTATAGGTATGACTTTATCAATAGTTATTGTGATTATTGTTCTACTTCTGTTCTTGTCTTTACTGTGTATCTTTAATTTTCAGACCTTAGTTTTACTTTTTTGTTTTTCAAGTTTTACGATCAACGCCATTCATAAAGTTTCATAATCAATGTAAAACTAGATTTTAGCATTAGCATTGTACATAATAAAAACCCAACATTACTATCAAAGATTTTTTTACACTTGAGGGTCATGGTAAAATTATATATAGACATTTTTCTTCAAACTATAAAAAGATAGGTTATAACATAACTATTATAGACTGGAACCTCAAGGAGTGGGGGGGGGTATAACTTACTCAAACGACTATACAGCGCCAAACACTTTTAAAATGAACTAAACGAGCTTTCTAAATATCTGGGAGGTATAGTTTTAATCTATTTGATAGGTAATATTATAGCGTTATCAACTTTTGCACTCAGGGTATATCTTAACCTGAAAAATAAATATTGGAAATTTAACTTTGAATTAAGAGATTCCAGTTCTATTTATCCAATTTTTTTAAATCTAATAACATTTAATAATTAAAGACTATTTTATTAGATAAACCGTGTGTATTTAATTTACTTACCTCCAAATCGTTAATTGGAAGAGATCAAAGTGTACTATCATGTTTGTGTTTTTACAGTTGTCATATAACAAAAACAAATTCAAAGTGCATGCTAATTAATACTATTAATATTAACTAGTAAACAATAAAATTTAAAGAGAAGCGCGAAATCTAAATATCACCATGATGTCAAAAATTATAGCTATCTGTACTATATTCAAACAAATCACCCTAAAAATACTGTAGGTCACCACTAGGCTTAGTGCACGTGCAGAGTCTAACAGAGCCGGCGCAGGGGTCGGTGGCCTTCACAACTGACTGGCGTTTTGAACTGTTCAGTTATTTACGGAACCTTGTAGTAGTTGGTGTCGCGTCGATACCTTTTTTTTACGTCTGCTGTAAACTGTATTTGCCATGTGTATTTAAATAACTATTTTATTGTACAAATATTGGGGGGATTTATTTAAAATAATAGTCATAAAGAGAGTAGCACTGTGATGTAGACGGGTGTTTTTCATATCCAACCATTTTGTATTCATTCAATTCAATAGACGGGAATTATTTCAAATGTGGCTTGACAGTTATCCCGAAAGTTACAGAGACATACGTATTAAAGAAAGTGACCTGTTTTGTATTGTGTCTGAACCCATTATAAATTCTTGTTACAAAATTAAAGTGACAAGACATTTGAAGACCCATGGTTCGTCCAGCGCTGAAGAATCTATTTTTCTATGAACTTACAGACGTCATTCTTTCAAGCAATATTGAACTATCCCTAAATCAACAATTTGATATATTGGATGATGTTCAAAACAATATATACTATGCTAATAATATACGCCCAGTCAGTAGTACGATAAAAGAAAAAATTCAAAGAGTGTTGGAAAAAAATTCAGGATACACCATTTTGGAAAATACATGTAAAGTTTTATCTGGTACATATCAGGAGTTACCAGCAAACATATTAATATATAATTCATGCCTCAACAATTTTTCATACTGTCCGTTGTCAACAGTTGAACGGTCATTTTTCCTACACAAGTTAATATTAAGTGATAAACGTCGCCGTTTCACTAAAGAAAACTTAGAAAATCACTTAATGACATCAAATTACAGTGCTGTTAAAATACTTATAAAAGTACAGTTTTTTATAAGGGTGCTATTGTTTTTGTTTAGGAAGAAATGGAATATTTATTTATTAAATTTTTGTTACATTTTCTAAACTGCAAGATTGGTACCAGAAGATGAAAGTTGAGCTTCGGATTTGGAAATAAAGTTAATTTCTTTATCTGTCTTACTGATTTTACCCAAAATTTTCGACGCCGTTTGCTATAGCTATCATATTGAATTGCCAATCGCCATGTCTTTTAACCGTCAATGTCAACAGCGACGCGAACGAATTTTAATGCCCGGTATAGTTTTACACATCTGAAATTTTCAAAAAGGATGCGATTCTATTTGGCATTTTTGCAAACATTTAGTGCCAACCGGTTGTCGAGTGCACTTACTATTTCTGAATCCAATAAATAACCAGTTGCGCTCGGTGTACTTGGCTGCAGTATTTCCTTATTTTTCCACCAAATTCAATCCTTGGATATTTCTAGTAGTAAAAATTCATATTGATTTTAATTTTGTATTCGGTATAGGAACACAGATGCATTGATCTTCGTCTATATAACAGTTTCTTTAAATAACATTGTTCGTTTTTATCATGAGCTTCTTATAAAAATTTGATAATGCATCTCTAGGTAAAACTTTCGATTTCTTGGATAGAATCCCTTCAGACTTTTTCTTTAAAATTGTAATTAAATGTAGGTACATACTTTCGAATATCCGTGTTATATTTTACTGATATCGAAGAGCAACATAAAAGACTCGCATGATTAGACTGTACATATCTGTATACTAATTTATAGTAGTATATTCACAGTCTAATTACATGATTAGTTAATCAAGTCTTAACCGAGACCATAAACCTAGTAAACTATATAAGGTCTATGAGTAAACTAAGTAAACTATGAACTAAGGTCTATGATTTGTAATAAGAGTTTACAAACTCTTTGATTTGGTGTATGTCATATGCGTTGATCAAATTATTTTTTAAACCTGAAAGAATGGCAACTCAAAATCAATCCCTTGATGACTAAATAATGTCTACTTATTAATACCAATTTAGTGTTAAATTTTACTTACAGTTAAATTTTTTGCTGCAGTATTTAGCGTCTTGGTTTATTCCATTTAGGAAAAATTGGTCACATAATATGTATTGCATTATGTATTTCATAATACTTTTGACATATCATAATGACAGCAATAATCAAATATATAGTGTCTCAGACTATGATTTTTTGAACTAATTGAAGTCAATGTAATTAAACCATTGTCTAAAGAGCAATGACAATTATTATATTTCTCTTATATTTCAAGTTACGTAATATGAAAAGATTTAAATAGGGGGGGGATTAAATGTATTAAAACCAATTAAATTATTTATTTGTATTTAGCGGACTAAAGATCACTTGGAGTTAACAATGCATTTATTTGAATGAAAATATCAAATATATCTAAAAAATAATTGAAACAGTTAGTGTTTGATTAGCATTAAAGCATAATTAATTAGTATACTTATTATTGTTTACTATTGTAAAAGCTGCCCCAATAATCATTATTAAATAATTTGCTTAAAGAATTCTTTTATTACAGATATTTTAATAATAAAAAAATAAATACATGCATAGGTATTCTTACAATTTTAATGAGAATTTCCAAAACATGAAGGAAGCTATTAAAAAAAAAAAATAAGGAAAAAGGTTGTTTAACATATTTTTTTTTATTTGAATTCAGCCTGTTTCAAAATTAATACAGCTTTTTTCAGATTTTTTTTTTTTTACTAATATTAACTGAGATATACCTACAACTTTAATATAGGAACATTTTGGTATAACAAGTTAAATTGGCTATTCTGACATTACTGGAACAGCCACATTTTCTGTCATTTACTATTTGTTGTGCTGGTGACCGGTTGTGTTTTTGTGTGTTATTTTTGCTTATTATAATTTTAATTGACATGGAGAGTATGAAAAATTACAATATATTTCTCAGTTATCACTGCCATACTCAGTAATAATAATAAATAACACAGATCTACTAGGTTTGTTGTATCAACCTCAAATTATAAAGTATCAAAACTGGCATGAATCATGCTGTCAAATCGTTTTCTGTATTTATGTCTCGATTGCGCATGTATTCGAGTTGACATCACAGCGAGAGAGACAACAATTTTAGATAGGACAGAAAATGTTTAAATTTTATTTTGATATTGTTCCATTTTTTCTGAAAAGTAAGTTAATGAAAGTAAATATACTTACTACTGATGCAAATTCAATTTTTGGAATATAATAAGATAAGGACCCTATTGTAAATAGTATTTTTAAACAGATTTATTGAAATCGACGTTTTAGTTATAACAAGTCAGAAGAAGTTATATTTTATTTTTTTTTCCATAATTATCACGCCCAATATCGTAATTCCTCATTAATACCATACCATTTAAATTGTGTTTTATTAAGTAAGTTTAATTGTTCCATTTATACGAATTGCTGTAAAGCCAAGTATAGGTTACACAATGCCCTAATTACTCAATTCTGCTCATTTAGCCCAGCAATGCCAGGCGATGCATGTGTAATTGGATCGAATAGCAAAAAGGATGCTTGCGCTAACTATCTCGAAAAGTCTAGGGTTATTCATTTACATCCCATTAATTGGTCTCCCAGCAATAGCTCGGGGTTGCAATAGGTGAAAACAACGGACTAATTGTTACGCCACGATTAATGTTGGTTTTATTTGACGAAAAGTACAGCATGCTTGTTTTGATTAGATTTGCTTCTTCTGTTCTTGTCAGCAATTTAGATTTTGATCTTTATAAATTCTTGAATTAATGTACATATGGGATAATTAGAATTTAGGTGTTTCGTCCTTCGTTTTAGAATCATCTTCAGAGGAAAAGTTATTGGTTAAAATTTTCGATTATAATAAATTATTTTTATCTGAAGTAAGTTTCAGGCATTAAGTATTAAGGAACACTAAAACATATTTATGCCTACGAAGGTACTTCCAGTTGTTCTATAAGTGGAAATTGTTACAAAAATTAGTTTGTTAACAAAATATTATTTAATTTTGTTTATTTATGTAAAGTGATACTTTTTCAGAATAAAA